TATCCAGCTCTGTTGCATCCTGAGAACTCAGAACATTAGGAAGGTTCTTGCCTCCCCCAGGGAAGATGGGTCCAGGCTGGGGAGCTGGATGGAACAGAGAGGGTGGGGGATTTCCCCCTATTTCTCTCTACTCCCTCTCTCTTTAGAGCAATGGGGGGCACCTGAAAAGCTCTCAGTGGGTGGGCCCAGGTGGGGGGGACCCTGGCGCTAAAGCTCCCCCCTCAGTGGGGGATTTGGTGGGCAGAAGTCGAACCCAAGCACCCAGTGCCGGAGTCTAAGAACCACAACGGAAAGCCAGTGCCGTCAGCGTGCTTACAGTTGCCTAGGTGCTCCTCCAGGGCTGTGCAGCCTGTGCTCTCTGGAAAGCAGATGGCCAGGCCAGGTCAGCTGTGCAAGAGGTTCAGTGGTTCAGTAGGGGGGCCTGTCAGTGGCAGGAGGGAGGGGGGAGCAGAACACGAGCCCTGAGGCAGTCCCAGCCGCCCAGTGAGGGCCCTTTGGCGAAGTCCTGTGTTGGGCAAACCTGTCCAGGCTCCGGTATCCCCCCATCATAGTCAATCATTGACGGGGGCAGGGAAGAGGGGTGTCCCTCTATTAACATAAACACAGGTCAAAGCTGAGACGGAGCCTTCGGACAAAGGCCTGCAAATGAACGTTCAGAACATTTTTTGTATGTTTGTAATATTACACATAACAGCCCCCACTGGAAATATAATCAAATGTCTGTCGACAGGTGAATAGAGAAACAAATCGTGGGGCACCCCCGACAGGAGGACGCCTCTCCGCAATAGATAGGGCAGAAACGGCTCTTCATTCATGCAACAACCTGGAGGAATTTCAAGCGCACGATGCTGAGCCAAAGAAGCAGAACCTGAAAGGCCACACGTCTGATTTCATTTCCGTGAACTTTCTAGAAAAGAGGCCTCAGAAGGTCCAAGACTGTGGCACCAGCAGGCTCTGGGGAGAACTGGTTGGTGGGACTTAAAACCAGAGAGTCGGGCGGCCTCTAGCGGCTCAGTTTGAGAGACATAAAGTCGGAGACCTGTGGCCACCGACATCCCGCCTTGGGGAGAGCTTGGCTGAGGATGATGATAATAATAAACATTATACATAACACATAATTACATTAGATCACATTATATATACTCCAGGTACAACAACAAACACAAAGGCATGCTGTGGGCCGGCACTATTCCGCACAAGGAAGGAATGTTAATATTTTTGCTCTTGTACATGAGAACAAGATGAGGAAACTGGGGGTTAGGGAGGCCACACAGATTGTGGGGTGTGATGTGGGATTTGAACCTCATCCATTTGACTTTAGGGAAATGGAGAGAAGCCACAGTGAGGGTGTGGGGCCCTGGCTGCACAAGCCCATGAGACCCAGCCCTGTCCTGTCTTTGACTTGGGGCACCCTTTGGTTTTCTGATAATAAACTCCTGTCCACTTGGATTCCACATTGGACTTTCCTGCCCCTCGAGGCCCAGAGCATTGGCCCTTCAGCCTCCATAGGGGGCCATAAGCCCTGACTTGCTTGGGGTGCCTGTCCCTGGGGGTGGTCGACTCCCTCCAGTATGGCATCTGCCCAGTGGATCGTTTCCTGTGAGCCCTCTGGCAGTGGTCTGCCTCCCCATTATGTGGTGTACCTGGGCCTCCTTTGTCCGCTGCCCATTGATGCCTTATTCATGCCCATGAGGTGGGGGGACCCACAACACAAAAGCTGGAAGCTTTCCTTAAAGGTCCCTCAGAGGGCTCAAGTGCCCGGGACTTGGTGAAGACAGAGGAGCATAGGGGTTGAGAACTAAGGCCGAGGTCCCTCCAACATTTATAGTTTGAGGAGACGATCCAGCAAAGGAAAAGGAACTGCCTTTTTGCCACCTTCCTGCCAAGGATGCTGCCCACCCCGAATCCTAAGGACAGGTCACACTTTCTCCCCCTCTAGTGACTCTTACCTTTGTCTTCCAGCATTTAAAGCAAATAGATTCACAACCTCCTTGCTCTTCGTAGATCTCACCCAACTCCTGGCCAACAGAACCTCAGTAAGAATCCCAAAGAGCCAATCTGACAGAGAAATCTCTGGGTTAGATGAGCATCCTTCTAGAACGAGTTCCTGTTCCTCAGGAGTAGCTGCTCTGAAGGCCCCATGATATTTACATTAGGCCAGGATTTGGGTGCTCCTGGCAGTAAACATTCTGGTTCATTTTGAAAGAAAAAAGACCAAACAAAAGACAAAGTCAGTTTGAAGTTACTCATGCTTTAATGCCTGCATATCTTACAAAGAAAAGTAAACAGAAAGAAAGGAAGATGAGCTAATGTGTAAAGCAGCCTGCTGTGAGTTTGTCATATTTGCACTGAATCTGTAGGTCCATCTGCAAGATTTGGCATCATTACAACGCAGCCAGTAACATGGCATTTCTGTGTCTTGCATCTGTCTCAGCAGCGTTTTAAAGGTTTCTTCTTATGCTTTTCTTTTTGCTTCTATTATGAACAAGTATGAACTTTTCTGTCCTGTTTGCAAACTTAGTGGTGCTTATAGAGAGGAAACATATTGATGTGTAGACAAGGGGCAGTACAATGTAAGTTAGGAGCCTGAACACTAGAGTGAGACTTCTTGAACTCAAATCCCAGCTCTGCCCTTACAGTACAATCTAGGGTAAGTTATGAGCCATTTCTGGACTTCTGTTTCATTTTCAGTAAAACAGAAGTAACAGTCCAACCTCTTGAGAACTGGTATGAGGACTAAATGAGAAATATATATAAGGATCTTACAAAAATCCCCAGCACAGAGTGTCACATAAATGTTTATTATTTGTTTCACATCCAATGACGTTCTAAACTCTCCTTGATATTAATTTCTCTTAATTCTCTTGGGTCTTCTGGTTTGTAATAATTTCTGTTAATAGTAGCCATTTGCACTCAATGTACCCAATGGCTATAAACTACAATATCTAGTTTGTATTGAAGTTCTATTTTTAAAGCCAGTCCTTATCTTTTACATATATAATTAAGTATTTACGGATGAAAACATATGAAGGAGTTGCTTCAAAATCACTGGGGATGAGGAGAGTGGAAAGTACAGGTCTGGGTAGAGATGAAACAAGATTGGAAAATTATTTAAAGTGCATGATGGGGGGGAATCATTAAACTAGTCTACTTTTGTGTTTGAAATATACACGATTCAATTAAAAGTAATAAGCTATCTACCTCAATATAAAAGCCAACATCATATTTAATGCTCGAATATTAGAGGCATGTCTGTTAAAAACAGAATGCAAGAATCTCACTTTTACTGACCATTTTGAAAATGGTAGCCAATGCAATCCAACATAAATGGGAATATCTGTATTCCCTTAGTACTGGTAAGAGATGAAATTATTACCTGTAGATGACTGTGTCATTGGAAAAGCCGAGAGAATCAAACAGAATATTCTGAGAATTAGTAACACATCAGTAGGTTAACCAGACACAAAATAAATATTAAAAAAAAAAGTCATCCACGATACAAATATAAGAAACTTTGGGGGTAGAGGTTACATTTCAAAAGCAGTAATTGTTTGTTGTTGTGTCAGAATTTACGTTAGGAAAATTTGACAGCATAAAAAAATAACTTTAAAATATCATATAGCAGGGCTCCAATTTTCAGCTTCCTCCCTGGTGGGTCGAAGTAAACATCACAATTTCTACACAGGGTATTGTGCCAGTTAATGAAATGTTAAAGTGTTTGCCATAGGGCCAAGAACCTTTACTTACTCAAAATATTTATTTATTGAGCACTTATTATATGTCAGGTACCTTAGGTTCTGGGGATCAGCACTGATCAAAATAGATACAAATTTTTTCCCTTATGGAGTCAACAGTCTAGTGATGAAGGCAGATAAATAAACGAAAATAAGTAGGTAAAATATATACAGTATTAATTAAAAGTTCCCTAGAGAAAAAATAGAGGAGGGAGGCAGGGAGTATGTGGGGAGTGAAGGGTTTGTTTGCAAGTTTACAAGGGCTGGTGGAAGGATGTCCCGAAAGGCGACACCCGCCTAAGGACCACATGGTGAGAGCTAAGTGCAATCCTCTGCCAGGCTGCAGAAACAGCACATGCAAAGGTCCTGAGGTGGAAGTCCGCTTGAGTTTGTTGGAGAAGGTGGAAAGGAAGTGTGGCTGGTGCTGAGTCAGAACAACGGTCATGAGATGCAGGCAAAGAGAAAAGGGGAGAAAACACAGATCCTTAAGGTCTTTCAGGCAAGTGAAAGAATTCTGTTTTAAAAACAAAGGATTCTTACTATTTTACTGTTACTATTAATTACAAAAACATCAGATTATTGACGGGCTTTACGGAAGCTCTCTGGAATGTATAAACGGATTTGTTAAAACGATCTTTGGCCCTGAGGCCCAAAAAGGAGCACGTGAAGCGTTCAGTTTTCACTGCCGCTCCTGGGCGTCCAGCGGGTCCCAGGGTCAGCCTTTCCCAAGGCAACCACTCCCTACGCATCGGTGCCTTGGCTTCGGGCCTCCGGGTCCGCTTTGCGTGCCGGCGTCCTGCAAAAACTCGGACACGCACAGTCGCAGACCCAGCCGGTACCCCAACCTGACTCCCAGATCCCGTCCAGCCCCGGCTCCGCGCTCACCTCCCCTGAGGTGCTGAAACTCAACGCGTTGTGGCCCGTGCCGCTGAGGCTTCTGGGAGTTGTAGTTCTTGCCCGCCGAGTCCAAATGCACTTCCGGGTTCGGCCAGAAGCGCAGCCATTGTCCCGCGTGCGGACGCCTGCTGTCGCCGCGCACCTTGGTCCCTGGGAGGTTAGCCCGGGCGGTCTTGCGGATGCCGACCACGGGAGAGGGCCAAACTAGCTTAATCCGAGTGTGTGGTGCGCAGAATCGGGGCAGAGGGTTGCTTCACCCGAGCTCGTCCTGCCGCAGAGCCGTGCCGGGCACTGAGAAGGGGGGGACAGCCGGGCCTGGGCCGCGAGCCCCTGGACGCCCAGGTTGGTGAGGGGCGGGGCAGCGCTGGGTGCTCCGTGCGCGCATGCGCAGGCTCCCGTCGGGAGGCTGGGCTTGGGAGTGTAGGTGGGAAATCTGGGGCTTGGCGCCGGCGGTCCTTCGCGGTCCTTCAGCCTAGGGTCGGCGAAGTTGGTGGAGATACTAGTGCAGTTGCAAATTCCAGGACTGCATGGGTCCGCGGGTCCTTGGTCGGGTGGTGCGCCTGTCCGGAGAATGCCTAGGTCGATAGAAGACAGGACGTAGACACGCCTGTGGAGGAGAACCGCAGCTTGCGCCCCGCCAGTGCGGGGCCTGTTTAGCCTAAAGAAGGAAGACAGCGTTGATGGAGTACTCAATAGAAACTTTTGTTCTGGAAGAGAGCGGCCTTGTCGTTATCCCTATACTCTTGAGCAGGTGCTTTGAGTAGGAAGCACAGGTGGGAGGTGAGAGCCTGGGTAGCTGGCTCTAGGATCCTGGAGCAAACACTGCGCTTCTCGCCGGCCTGGGACGCCCTGAGTAGTGGAGAGACCAGGTTGTAGTTGCAGATTCTTTCCCCAGGAGAGGCAGTGCTACTTCTGCAAACCCTGGGTGGGAATCGCTGATGGACTAAAAACTACTAGGCTGAAGGAGGGTCCAAAGCCTAGAGGCAGGTTCTAGGCAGAGTGCTCCCTGAGCTTACTGGGAGTGTCTGAATGGGAAGCAGGAACTTGGACTGGTAATCCTGGGAGCCCTGTAGGATAGTGCAGAGCCTTAGAGCATTCAAGTTTAGTGGAGACGCCGGGTTGGAGGTACAGAAACGAAGATAGTAACAGCTGCCATCAAATCGACAGCTGTTTGGGGAGGAGGCAGGATGCTGCCAGCAAGATTATGACATAGGTGTTCCTGGTGGGACCTTTGCTCAGGTTGCCCTGTTTGGAGGAATGAGGATGCCCTGTGTAGCCCCAGGTACTCACATTTGCGCTGGAGGAAGCAAAAAGACCCAGTTCCTGTGGGAGCTGCTCATGAGCTTGAGAACCCTTAGGCTGGTGAGCGCCCAAGTCCTAGGGCTGATTCTGGGGTTGTGCTCGAGCTGATGTTTGGGTCTTCTGATGTTGTGGTGGCAAGCAGGCAGTGGGGTAGGTGATGATGGAACCCTTGTGCAGGCTTGAGGGTACTTGAGGTATCCTGGATAGGAGTCAATGGGAGTGGGAGATGCAGCTTCTCACCTCAGGAGCTGGAACTGCATACTACCCCCAGGCTGGCAGGGAGCCCAGGTCCTGGATGCAGCCTCTGGGTGTGAGTCTGCATGTGCGTGGGGGTGCCATGCAGGAGGAGGGGAACGAGGTGGCTGGGCCTGTGTGCTGTAACTGCTGGAGTAGAGGCCTGGGGACCCCAGTTTGGGGCTGCAGGTTCTGGTCTTGGGAGGCCGGGGTTGCTGCAGCTGCACCCTGCACCTGTGCTGGCATTTGGACAGAATGAGGAGGCTTGAGCAGTCCTAGGACCCTGGCATTGCCTGAGGATGCCAAGGTGGGTGGAGGGAGCAGTTGCAGATTCTGAGTTGGAGAGGGGTAAGGCTGTGCCAGGTCCCTTCATGCACGCATACAGATGTTTGGGTGAGAAACGAGAGGCTGGACATGGGTGATAGCCACTGTGCTGGGGGAGCTCAAGAAGATGTTTGGTCAGGAATCTGAGCAGGTATAGCTCAAGCAGGGGCCTGTGGAGGTTGGTGGAGGAAATTGTTTGGGGGCAGGTCCAGGGCACAGCTGCGTTATGACACTACACTATACTGTTTGAATGCAAATCCAGGAGAGGGGAGAAGGGGTGGTTAAGAGGGAGAGATGGGGCTGGGGTGGGGTGGGGTGTGTAGAGTAGGAAGTGCCAGTGGCTTTTTTAGTCTCAGACCCAGAAACATCTAGTTGGTACAAAGACAACATTCTGGGTCTGGGGTGGCCTGGTGTGTGCTGGTTCCCAGTCCCTTGCCACCTGTGTTGCCAATATGCAGGTTGGTGGAGAGACCAGATAAGAGCTACACATTCAGGGCCCACGAGGGTTTTGGAGTGGGAAGCTGGCACTGTTCTGGTGGGGTCCAGGGGAGCCCAGAATGGTAGAGGGACTCAGTCCTGGGTGAAACTGAGCTCTGATACGCTTGGCTATTTGAGCAGCAAGTGGTAGGCAATCGTGACAGGTTGTCAGGGGTAGGGCCCTGGGATGGGTGGGGCTGTGTCACAGAGAGTGATTCTGGGTCACCAGTGCTGGAGCTCTGCTGCTTGCCCTAGGAAGAGGCGCTGGTTTGGGGCTGTAGATTCAGGCCGGGTGGGGTGCACATTAGGGGATTCTTGATGTGCCAGTGTTTGTGCAGATCCCAGGACCCAGTGGAGTATGCAGGGACTGATTTATGCTGCAGATTTGGGTGGTGGGCAGAAGGGGTTTGGGTACGAGGTGGGCTTACAGGTCAGTGTCCCAGGGCCCGAGATAGTGGAGGAACTAGGTGGGAGCTGCAGAGTGTTGGCCTGGGAGAGGGACTAAGGGATCAGGTGCAGGCACAGCTCTTTGGGCAGGAATCTAGGCAGGAGCCCACTATCCTGGGAGTGGGGATGAAGCCAGGGAGGGGGCGCCATGGGGACCTGCATGAGGATGCTGTCTGTGCTCAGGATTTCTCCCTTGCAGCTCAGGACCTCAGGCCCCTGCCCGTGCCTGGAGGGGAGCATGGAGGAGCAGGATGAGAAGCCCCCAGGGCCCCTGAAGGCCTGTGTACAGGTGAGTGGAACTTCCCTTCCTCTCTTTGGGAGACCAAGAGCTTTCACTCACCGATGTCCCACAGCTCAAAGCTTGGGAGGCTGTCCCAGCATTCTCTGTAATGTTTTGGGGGCTTTTGGGCCTCCTGACAGGCAGAATTCTATACACCGTACATTTTATGAGGCGCTCTGCACTTCCTCACCCTCTAACCCAGGTAACTCTTTCTGGGAGAAATTTGGCATCCTGTATCAAAAGCCCCGATTTTCCTGTGGCCAGCACCTCACAGCTGGCTTGAAAATGAGCAATTGGAAAGAATATTTGAGAATGTGCAATGCAAGAGGAGAGAGAAATGGGTTATGGTAAGACCATGAGAAGGAATAATAATGCACTGTAGCCATTGACATAATGCACATTTACCAACAAAAAAGGATATGTTTGATCTATATTAAGTAAATGCTCCAGAAAACTGGATTGAATCACTGGCAGAAGAACCAAGTGGCGCTCAGAGGTCTTGGAAGGCAGAGGTTTATTTTTCGCCTGCGGAAACCGGAAAACCTGGACTGGATTGCTGACGGAAGGACCAAGCAGCACTTGGCGGTCTTGGAGGGCGGAGGTTTATTTTACACTGGCGGGCTTACAGGAGAGTGATCTCCAAAGGCCTGAGCCCCGAGTACAGCAGGGCCTTGCCTTTTATATATTTACTGCAAAGCTAAGTGGGGAGTCAGCACCCAGAAACTGTTGCAGTAGGAGCTCTTAGGTCACTATAGGTGTATTCAGGTTGCTAGTTGTATTTTAATCTATTTCTGTAAAGGTTACCCAATCCATATTATAAACTAATCTGGTTTCCATGACTATGATTAACAAGCTGTTCCACACCACTGAGTCCTGGTGGGGGGTGGGGGGAATACGATGTTACATTGTTTTAATCTCAATCACCTAAGCACGTTGTGATTCCTCTGTATTCTTTTTTTCTTTTAAATAAAGACGGAGTTTTATTTGAGCCAAACTAAGGACTTAAGCCCAGAAAACATAATTCCTGTGGGTAGGTAGGAGAAATGTTTGGAAGGGCCTAAGTCATACAAAGGTTTTATAACCTCTAGGAAACAGGCAAGAAAGGAAGAACTTCAAAGACATGCATTTCATAAACATAAGATAGCGGATGTAAAGAAAAGGGGGTGGCGGGCAACACACATCCTGGTGCCAAGGGGATTAGGAGCAAACATCTCGCTTAAACTTTAGCAGGAATCCGGATGCCACTGTTTAGCTTTCAGCTTGAATAACAGATGGTATTACAGGGTCACAAAGTTTTCAGTTTTCACAGGTGGCCATTTTGAGACTCCTGGAATGAAAGAAACCTTCAGTACTTAAGCCTTAGAAATTTTCTGGTGGGCAGCTTTTCTTTTTTTTTTATTAAGGTATCATTGATATACCCTCTTATGAAGATTTCACAAGAAAAGCAATGTGGTTATTACATTCACTCTTATTATTGACTCCCCCTCCACACCCCACTGCAGTCACTGGCCATCAGTGTAGTAAGAGGCCACAGAGTCACTATTTGTCTTCTCTGAGCTACACTGTCTGCCCCGGGACCCCACACACACCATATGCTCCAATCATGATACCCCACAATCCCCTTTTTCCTCCCTCCCCACCCGCCTTTTCCCACCCCTTCCGTTTGGTAATCACTGGTCCCTTCTTGGAGTCTGTGAGTCTGCTGCTATTTTGTTCCTTCAGTTTTGCTTTGTTGTTATACTCCACAAATGAGGGAAATCATTTGGTATTTTTCTTTCTCTGTCTGACTTAGTTCACTGAGCATAATACCCTCCAGCTCCATCCATGTGGTTATAAATGGTAGGATTTGTTTGTTTCTTATGGCTGAATAGTATTCTATTGTGTGTACATACCACCTCTTCTTTATCCGTTCATCTACTGATGGACACTTAGATTGCTTCCAAATCTTGGCTATTGTAAATAGTGCTGTGATAAACATAGGGGTGCATATCTCTTTTTGAATCTGAGAAGTTGTTTTCTTTGGGTAAATTCCTAGAAGTGGAATTTCTGGATCAAATGATATTTCTATTTTTAGTTTTTTGAAGAACCTCCATATTGCTTTCCACAATGGTTTGACTAGCTTACATTCCCACCAGCAGTGTAGGAGGGTTCCCCTTTCTCCACATCTTCCTCAGCATTTGTTGTTCTTAGTCTTTTCGATGCTGGCCATCCTTACTGGTGTGAGGTGATATCTCGTTGTGGTTTTAATTTGCATTTCCCTGATAATTCCTCTGTTTTCTTGAAGCCTTAACAGAAACTTTGTCTCCTTGGCTTCCTTGGCTTCCTACCAAACCTGGAGAGGGGGAGGGAACTGAGAACTTTCTGGATATTTCCTCATCATAAATAACATTTAGAAATGATCACCTTTTTAAAAAGTTTGTGTGTGTGTAGAAAATAAGTTAGAAGGTTATAAATACACTAGTTAACAAAGGTGATGTATAAGTTACATTTCAAGTACCTTTGTTTTCCTTTTTCATGTTTTTGTAGAGCACATTTTAAGGTTAAGAAGTTAACATTTTAAAGCATTTTCCCACAGCAAGTAGTCTTTGAAAACATTTAATTTCTTAAATATATTAGAGTTTCGACCTCCCCTTTCTGAACAATTTGATCCTAAAGCCATTTAGGTGGGGCAGAGCTAGGTGGACATCTACAGTAGAGGGTGGACTCCCTGCCGTGGGGGCCACAACCTGATGAGGATGAGGAGGGTATCTGGGGGGGGGACATCAGTGACCAGGCAGGTTGAGGAAGGTAGCATCGGGATTCAGTCCAAGTGAGGCAAGGTAAGTGTTCATGCAGGGAGGGGGATCTGGTTTGGGGTGACAGTGCTGGAGCAGGAGAAAAGGGCATCCACAGAGGGGATACCCCAGTGTGAGCAGCCCAAGTGCAGTGAGGGGGTCGTGCAGGGATGGCCCACAGAGCATAGGGCATCTGAGTCAGAGCACCTGTGTTGGGGTTGGGGCACATCCTGGGGTTGCGTGCTGCAGCCTGAGCAGATTGAGGGCATCCACGCATGAGAGCAGCCCAGGGTGGGTATCAGAGCTCAAACAGGATGTCCCGAGCATCTAAGTCCAAGTGGCACGAGAGTGGGTCCATGAGAGGAGGACACCTGACCTGCAGTCAGAGCCCAAGCAGGGTGAGCAGGCCCCTTGGCAGAGGCCAGCTTGTGGGACTGCAGGGCCTAGGTGGGCTGAGGAGCATCTGGAGAGGGAGTGGCTATGGAAATGGGAGATTAGTTACTTAGGGTGGATTGATCACATAAGTAGATCTCATAAGGGTCACGGAAGCCAGGGTTCTCACCATCAGATAGGGAAAGAACAGGAAGGCACTTTGTGGTGTTCAGTGGGAATTGGAGGTTTGATGTGGACTGTGGTTTTCCGTAGATGTAGAAATGCAGAGATGTATGTGTGATTACATACATAGAGATCTTGGTGTGTGTGCATACACATATGCATAGAGATGTATTGGTGCCTGTGAACACACACATTATGTGTCTATACAGACACACATATATTCCCTATCTCTGTCCCCTGTGAGGGCCTCGGAGCAGTGACATTCCGTATCAACATGGACACTAAGTGCCCAAGTTTCAACTTCTTAAGTATGCCACAGGCTTGATGGGTTTACTGTTAATAGATAGTGCAGTTCCCACTCACCCAACACCAAATGCAATGGTGTATTTCTTCCCTACATATACATATAACAGTAACAATATACACAGCAGTAATAGTAGTGTAACTTCATTTGGGTACCTGGCCCCGATTCCAGTGTGTGTAAATACTGGGAGGGGGTCTTCCCACACATACTTATACCAAGCAATTCTCATAAACACCAGTAGGGTGTTGGAGAACTCAACTCAATTCTGATGCTGTCTGCCCAGAGATGGCACCAGATTCCCCAGGTGAAGGGCCCCGTCCTACAAGACTGCCCTCCACCCCCAACTCCAGATGCCCGTCGCAAGCCCCTGTGCTGCTGACCTCCCGGCTACAGATTGGAGGTTCCCACGACCTCCCCCTTAGGTTCAGTTAATTTGCTCAGTTATATAGGTAGGCTCACAGAACTCAGGAAAACATGTTTACCAGTTTAATAAAGGATACAAGTTAACAGCCAGGTGAAGAGAGACAGGGCAAGGTCCCAAATAAAGGAGCTCTATCCTTGCCGGGCTTGGGGCCTGGCTGGGGGGCATGTGGAGGCGGTCTGGGGCAAGCATAGAAGCTCTCCCCGACCAAGAAGGAGGATCCAACCTAGCATCACAGGCCCTGCACACCAGAGAGAGAGAGATGAGCTCTTCCTCTGGGGTGTTTGTGGGGGCTTCATTGCATAATCATGATTGACTAAATTATTGGCCATTAGCTGATTCGACCTTCAGCCCCTGCCCTTGGGTGGGGGTCCAAAAGTTTCATTAACATGACAAAACACCTATTTCACCTTTAAGACTGTCAAATGTTTTCTGGAACTGGATGAAGACCAATATACCTGGGAAATATATATTTGATCACATGAATGACCAAGTATGTATTTCTTATAATTCATTTTATCACAGATAGTATTCAATTTTTTGCTGTTACAAATAGCACTGCTGTAAATACTGTTGTATATGATGCCTTGCACATAAGAGTTTTAGGGGGTTTTATGCAAATATGAATTTACATTCACATTTTTATCAAAACAACAGGTAAAACCCATTTTGATGTGACCACCATTATTCTGCGCTAAGGTAGTGACTTCAGTGTTTTCTGGGACTCTTAATGGTCCTTCTGCAGTTTTCTTCTATGTTGTACAACTGAATTAGCAATCTGTTTGTTATAGTTTTTACTTTTATCTCATATTTATTGACTGCTTAACCAGTATGAGGCCCTGGGGAGAAAGATGACTTAGTTCTCAAGAGACAGAAATGCACATCTTACGTATTCCCAGGGACATAGGAAAAGCAAAAATATCTTCCTTCTATTAATTATCTGTGATCACGTACTCCAAAACTTAGCAGCTTACAACAACCAACATTTATCTCACATGGATTCTGAGGGTCAGGAATCTGGGAGCTGCTTGTCCGGTTGTTTCTGGAGGCCCAAGTGTCTGACCAGGTCACAGTAAGTTGTTGGTGGGGGCTGCTACATCTGGAAGGCCTGGCTGGATAGGGGGACCCACTTGCAAGCTCAGTCATGTGGCTGTTGGTGAGAGGCCTCTGTCCCACACCTGAGAGACTGCTCCCCAGGGCTGCAGTCTGGTTATCCCACAGCAGCTGGTTCCTCCCGGAGCAGATGATCTGAGAGAGAAGTGCACACTCACGCTGAATTAGAGTCAAGATGGAAGCCACTGTGTCTTTTATCATCTGTGCTCAGAAGTGACACACTGTCACTTCCTCTGTAATTTCTTGGTCACATGGACCCACCCTGTTACGATGTGGGCAAGGACTCCATAGTATGAATACTGAGAGGTGAGGATCACAGGGGGGCCATCTCAGAGGCCGGCTACCTGAATGCCCTCTAGTTAATTTTCATCATGATCACAAACGCACAATGATGTCATTTGGGCCTGACAGACACAGAGCCCTGGCAGGAGAGAAGTGGAGGGGGCCCGGGTGAGGTGCCTGCCTGTGTCCGCGCTGCCTGAAGTGCACTGAATCTGCGGTGGGCCACAGACCAGAGCCCGGCTCCTCCCAAAGTGGGTGCAAAACCATAGGCATATGTGCATGTGTGATGTGAAGGAAAGAAAGTCGGGTACAGGGTGGAATCGACGCGGGCTGGGGCAGGGAAGGCCACTTGATGCTGTGTTGACTGTGAGCAGGACTGGGCTCCCTTTTGTTTTCCTTGTGAAAACTTTTAACCCAAGAGGTGTTGAAAGCGGTTTTGATAGGAGGTGTGCCCATTTCCCCTAGTAAAATTGTCTTAGCAGTTGTGGCAGATAAGGAATGGCTTGGAGGTTTGTTTCTACTGAGTACCTGCTGAGTTAGAAACATAAATTTTTCAGTTCTTGGCACTTTCTTAACTGATCTTAGCTGTTTAAGAAAAAAAAGGGTGTATAATGATTTCACATACAATGTAGGGTTTGTTAAGATTTCCTGTCCTGAAACACTTCTCGTTTCCCAGGTATTTTTTAAATTATAGGATGAGTGAACTTCTGGCCCTTAAATTGTTAGAACTCAACATCAACTACTTTTGTAACCAGAAGAGACGCATTTGTCTTAAGTTTGGCACTGCTGCACATAAGGAACGTGATTTCTCTCTGGAGCCAGGTTTCTGTGATAGGCCTGAGTCCAGTAGCAGTTTGGGGTCAAAACTGGTGGCCACCTTGGGCCACCTGTAGTTTTGAGGTCGTTATCTGGACACTTGTGAGTTTGGTTGGTTGGTTCGCTTTTGTTCTTTGGCATCTGGAGCTATTTTGTAATGCCCGCGCAGCCATTTTAAGGCAGTTTAACCATCCTGGCATTTGTGCTTGGCCACAACACAGGCAACTTGGCAGCTAAGCTTTCACCTCGGCCCTTCCTTACCTGTGGCATCTCCAGTTCTCGGAATATGCAGTGTGTATCTGCCCAGCAAATACAGGCAGGTGGTTTTAGGTTTGGAGAAATTCTTTTCCGCTTTAGACACATTAATGCTAGCCATTTGTAATCATCCTTCCCAATGTAATCGTGAAATTTTCCCCAGGCTGGTCAGGGAGAAAATTGGCACACCTATGAAAAGTAAAATAGATCGTTTCCTTGTAGGATAGTACTCAGAGACTCTTAAGTAATTGAGTGGTAATCAAGCAGCAGCAGTGCTTTTCAGTGTTTTGAAGTTCTAAGAAGGAGCTAAGTAGACTTGCATGGACTGTCATTTGACAGATTGTTACTCTGTAGAAAAAGACTTCAGGGAGCTACAGAGAAATTACCTTTTTTCAGGGATTTTTCAAGAGAGAAACATTTTTTGCTGGTTTCTGATTATTTAATAAGGGAACTACACGTCATTTAAAAAAAGGATACAGTATTAAAACGTAGACAGTGAACCTGCTCCTGATTCTGCTGTAACCACATACCTTCAGTTCCCTGCCACCCAATTCAGCCAATACACTGAGAGACAGAGTGTTGAATAGAGGAAGAGGGTTTTATTCAACAAGATGGCAGGTTGGAAGATGGGAGCACTATTGTCCTAAAGGCCCATCTCAACTCGACTGATTTCAAGCCCCTTTGAAATGCAGGGGAAAGGGGAAGGAGGCCGGGAGACGGAGGTGACAGATTACTGTGGACATCTGGACATCAGCGAGGGTCAGAGGAATGTCATGAAACTCCCCAGCCTCGGTCAGCTGACTCTTGCCAACACAGGATTCGGTCATGACGGTCCTACAAATTCTTAATAGGACAAGTATTTTGTCTTACCTGTCAATCTGTAAGCAAAATTATTAACAAGCTATGTGTAGAGCTGCAGTTACTCTTGCAAATCTAAAAGGGAGTGTTAGTTAAGGGTTTTGTAAGTTAGTTTTGGTAACTTTCATTTCCTTTCCTTGGTTTGTCTTTGGACCATTTTTATCTCTAAATTTATGTAACAAAACAGACAATGTTGCCCTAGCCATCCAGTTGTCTTTATCTTGTTCCTTGGTGGCCCATATGGAGCTTAGCGACCGTCTTTGAACTCCTTGGTGGCCTGGTTGCACCAGCCCTCCAAAAAATAACTGCTTTTGAGGCTTTTGACATGGGCCTTCCTGACTTTCCTGTGTATATTGTATTCTATAAAAATCTCCTATTTTATACACTACACTATTCGTAATTTTTTCACTCAGCAGTATATTATACACATCTTTCTGTTATTTATATGCATCAGGCCATGCAAATCTCTCTCCTCCTCTTGGCTGCTAAATAGTCTTCAGTAATCTGGATGAAGCATAATTTATTT